ATATATTCAATATAGAATTACAGTTTATTATACGATAATACAAGAAAATAGACAAAGGAAAGGGTCAAATATATCCAGGAGCGATGTAAATATTCAAGGGATTAATTGGGGAGCATACATTGATGTCTCTCTGCCTTGGGGAAAAGACAGGGTTTATATATCTTTCGATAACGCCGTATAATAACAACATATAATAATGCTAGGAAATAATGCTATAAATCATTATATTACTAATGTCAATCATTGCAAATCATTGCAATAATACTATATACTATTATTTTGGTCGGCAGAATTCTTTTCTATGGCTAAAAATAGTTACAAAAATTATAAGAACATGAAATAACGCCGACTTTTTATTTTATGTGTGAGTGAGTTTTTATTTGGTAATTTAATGTGTAATGAGGTTTTTATTTATTAAGATTTAATTCAATTGATTGTACGTAGGTTATTTTATTGATAATTGAATTAGTATACATTAAATTTTTAAAAATTTTTTTTCGATTGGTTATTGAGGATAGGATATAATGTAGTTGTCGTGTTAGTTGTATTTTAGAATAGGAGGAAACGTTTCCGATTCAAAGTGAATTGTATACATGGTGTGAACAATAGTGATAAATTAAAGTTAATATAAATAATTTCCGGTTTAATTTATCGCAATTGTTCATATCATGTGTGGGATTCAGTTTGGATCGGGTACGTTTCCTGCAGTTGTATTTTGGTTACGATTATTGTTGTTGTACAAGGTTCTTTTAATTAGTTGAATTTTTCAAGACCTTTTTGGCTTATAGAATTTAGTCGTTTGTATTCATTTATAATAGGTTCGTTTACCTTTATTTGATTGAAGTCGAACGAAAGAATTTTTATTGATTTCCAGGAAGGGCTCTACTCATCGCTACATATACTTGTCTATCTGCAAACATGTCTTCGTCTATTGTTAGAGTTGTCTGAGGTAATGTGAGGCCTTGTGTTTTGTGAACAGTCAGAGCGAAAGCATTTTGTATTGGATATTGTTCTTTTGATGCGAGGATTCCATTAATGGTAAAGTGTGATGTTGTTTTTTCAACGCTGATCTTTGTTATGTTGTCATTCACTGGAAAAGTAATTTCAATATTTTCTTCATTTATTAGTTTTGTTATTATTCTGATTGTTCTGTTGCATATTCCATGTTCAAATAATTTATTGTTTAGGTACATTATTCGTGTGCCTTCTTGTAATGTAAGGAGGTCAGGAAGATTTGTATAGTGTTTAAATTTTAGTGGATCATTGTAATTATCAATTATTTGGTTATTATAACGATCTACAGGTTTCGATATGATTATGTCAAGATTTTTGTCACTGCAAGGTAGGCAGTCACAAATAATCGAATTGATTTGGTTTGCTGTTTGTCGAAGGCCTACAATATGGGTGGAATTTATTATTAAATCGAGGTTTATTGAATCTGAAATTTTTTCTTCTATCATCGATCTTGATTTGTTTGAGAGTTGTCTGAGTCTTACTTCTTGCAAAAGGT